CAAACGGTGGTGTTCCTTTTGGTTTCGCAATAAAACCACCAAACAAGGGGTAACCTCAAAAACGCCACACCCCGGTTGACGCATGGAGGGAACCACCGGCTTGCTTCGCATTGCTTTCGCAGCTGAGGAAGGGAACTGCACCGTACCGCCGGGCGCGCTAGCGGTCGAGTGCCCAGGGGCTGTGGAGACGTCTTGCCAGACCGCGTATAGCGACCCACCCCATTGCTGCTCCAGTCGTGTGTGGCTACTGAAGTTCCAGCAAACACATGATTGACCAATGGGGCTAGTAAATCTAGGTAAATCCGGGGTTTAAATGTCTAGCGGTTAGTGCCTTAGACAGAAAGGAAAGGGAACCACCCCTTTGGAGGGGCGCCCAATTTTGATACAAATCATGTTAGAATGTTCACTTCAGGTTTGCAGGACTGAGGATTCGACTCATCGTATCGGCAAACAAATGCACATCTCTTGTGACAATGGCCATGCGTGTTCTGCCTTTGGGGTGGCCAAAACACGAAACCGCTAGACAAAGGGTGACGCAGTTTTGTATGTTTGCCCATCTTTTGGCTTGTTCACAAAGAGGACCAGAGAAATGCATAGCCCACGTCGATTTCGAGGCTGCACACTTTGACAAGCACTTTGGCTGGGTCAGGCACGGCGCGAATTGAGCTTTGTTCTTTGGCTTGATGTTTGTGGAACCTCACCTCACTCTGGTGAAAAACATTTTGGATGGGGGGGGGGGGTTCAAGGATTTGGACCCTCCAGAATGGCGGTTTTCCTTTTGGTTTCCCCTAACACCCACAAAAAAGGGGTCCCTCAAAAAGACACATCCATATGACATCTCATATCTGAGTGTCATACTAAAGCAAACTTGATTGAAGATTCAAGATGGATGGCACTGGTTTCAGTTTGTTCGGTTTGCGAAACACCTGGGGTTGTTGACCCCGGATCAGTACGCCCCTGGTTGATTGATAGGTGTGTGTTTGTGCTTTTGGAGGGAATCCCCCCCCGCAAACAATAGGACGGGTTTATTCATCCGGACTCAACATGCAGAACATCTAGCAAAGAACCACCGGTGTTCACACGCTGACTCAAGACTTTGGTTACAGAGGTTTCCCTTTCTAGCGAGACATGTTTGGAATGGGGTGCTCCGAGCCTCGACCAGCACTCGCTTCCAGATATCCAATGTTCTACCCAGTGCCAGGGAATGTGGGAAGGACCCCGCAACATCTTCTGCTAACTTCAGGACGCAAAACAATATGGGCATGAATTTTCATTCGGGACCCTCTGGTGGACCTCATTTAGGTGGGGTTTTATGTCCACCAACCACTTTCCAGGGGGTCCCTATTTGATTTCATGGCCATATCACAAGCTTGCTTCAGCTGTCTTCCAGAACGAGAAGGCAGGGCAGCTGTTGCATCCGTGGCCAGATGGAAGCGGCGGTACTTCTCCCACAGCTTTGGCATCCCGTCCCCGGCTGGGTGTCCGAGAGGTGGGGGCAAGATGCACCTCGTGAAATGAACGGAGGCTGTGATCGGAAAGGGGCGAGTATGCGCATGAGTCTGCAACTATTTTATAGCGAGCTCACCTGGGGTATAACCAGCTCACCATGATCGAGGTCCCTGGCTCGGGGATCTAATTGAGGCTTTGGGAGTTGGGTCAAAAATGCAGATGAATGATATTTTGTCAACCGGTTCTGCTGCAAGCTCAGGTAGATGCAGCCGATTGCCGGCCCTTTATTCCTGCTGTTTCCTCCACCACTTTTAACCATCATTTCAAATATAGCCCGTACCGCCCAAGGGACACAGTATGGACTTCGGGGAGGCCCAAGACTGGCGAGTCATCTTGCAGGGAGTTTTCTGGTCAAAGTGGCAGCCATGATGTGGTCTTGTCTCCCATGTCGAGGTCGCGTTCTTCACTCCTCACAACGCTTTCTCGACTTGCGACATCCTCACAGAGGCGCGGGCGCGGAAGAAGATGCCATGGGAATTCGGGTTGGTTCCCGAATGGCCGGTCTTTCCGGATGGGGGAAACCCACAGGGCCCGGGACCCCTCCCTGACCATTGGAAGCCTTTGGTGGGATCAAGCGGAATCTCCAAAGCTTTCAGCCTGGATTTCACAGCTTTGACTGCCCATTCCAGTATTTAGGGCTCAGCCATGAGACGAAGACAGCTTTACGGAGTGCGCAAGCCCTGCGAGTCACGCAGGTCTCTTAGGGGAACTGCTTTGTTCATTGAACGCCATTGCCCGTCTTGTGAGCTCTAGCAATTCCTTGGTGAATGCCCGTGAAGCTCTGTCACTACGCCGTCAGGTGCCTGCAGATCCATGTGTGCAGCTTGGCTTGCCTGAAGTCGGGCCGACTGGTGTGAAGCCGCGCTTCGCCCGCGCGCCTATTTTTGGGAAGAAAGCGGCGACCGGGCAATGTTTGGGCAATGTTGGATCACCAGCAGATGGATGGTTTGACCAGGTTTGGCATACATTGATCCTCCAGATGTGCTTGGTCCACTTCTTGGGTGCGTGTCATCACCTTTCGCGATTCACTACAGGGTTTGTAGCATCGATGCAGTGCACAAGAAAGCCAACAACTCTGAGAACCGCAGGTACGGTGGACATGTTTCTGGTGAAGGTTGTGGTCTGACATACCTGTATAGTTCGTTTCCATCAACGTTCAATCACAGCAAACAAGATCACCCACCTACATGGGTAGGTGCTTCGCTTGTTGCCTTGCTTTGCTACATGCCAGGCGTCCAAGACGCATGTAGCCACTCCCATTTTTCAGCACACTTTCCCCCTATGTGAATAGGCCGCACTGATTCAGAGGGGATTCCATTTTTTGGGAAGAATGGAACTCTGCCCGAGGAACTCCCTGCACTTTCACGGCCAAGTGACCTGCGAGAACGTCCGCCTGCACTCCCATGGGTTTGTGGTCCCAGCTGGCAGGGAGGGGGGGGGTAGTGCTCTGTTCCGGCAAGTTACCATGAAATATGATGCGCCCAAACAAGTTCTGATAGCCACTTGCAAGTGCCCAGGTTTTGCTCCAAGGCGTGCAACATCCCTTTCAACGTTGAGTTTCATCATTTTGTTTGACTGACATCTTCTAAGAGTTGGTGTTTATGCTCGCAGGAAGCCAGCTTCGCGTTGATCACCGGTGGTACCACCAGTGTTTTGTTGCCTTTCAAAGGGGTCCTGGGAGCTTCCACGTTAGCCCTGGGGAGGGTGCAGCACGCGATTTCTAAATCTGAGGTCTCTTAACTACCCTAGTGCAGGTCCATTGGGGAACCCCACGGCGGCTTTTGCCGCGCATTTTGGAGTCTTTTCCACGGCAGGTGTTTTTCTTAACCAAACCTTACATTTGAACTTATGAGTGTGCTGATCTTGGATATGACAGGCTTTGCGTCAGTCTGGTGAACATTGGCTAGTTGCTTTGCTTTGCAGCTTCCATGCGCGAGTGTGACAACGTTGGCGGAAGTTGGCCGGTTGTCGACATGTTTGTGCATTTTGCCGGTGACAAAAATAATTCGCTATCACCTGTCAGAAGTCATTTTATCGCAGCTGTTGAGATGTTATTTGGTCTATGGGCAGGGGCTGCGACCTAGTTACTTGCCGTTCTACTCTGCCCGCGGCACCCCCTCCTTGGGCGTGTTCCAGATTTGATTTTGATTTCCGTACGGGCTCGCTTTCCTGACGCTTTATTGCGGCATTTTGTAGCGTTCGCGTGCGACTTTGGGGGGCTGCACTTTCTGCAATCCCACGCTGTCAAAGCTTGCATGTATGATTTGGTTTTGTTTTTTTCCGCTTTGCTGTGGTTTCTGCTAGTGTGCGCTTGTTCAATACACAAAGCCCTCAGGCAGCAGAATGTAAGAGCAAGACAAGGCAACATGAAGAAGAGGAACATTGTCGAAACAAAGCCAACAGGAAGCATGGCTTAACCTCATGTTTGCATGGCGAGGCATGGGAGGAGTTGTCTGTGCATATGCCCCCTTCTTTGGCATGGAACACCTTGTTCCTAGTGGCACGTGTTGGCAATGACCATCCGCAACATATCCTTATTTATTGGCTGTGCAGAAGTATTGGAGCTCGGCCCACCATAATGATTGGCGAAAGCAGGGACTTTGCGCACGAGACTGACAATCAAAAGAAGCAATCTCCCCGGAACTCCAAGAAATTCATTGTGCAAAAACATGAATATAGCTGCACTTGAGCACGGACAAGATCGACCTGCGACCAGCCCACGTATGCCCCGTGCAGCAAAGGTGGGACGTCTTTACGCCATGTGCCAACATGACCTGGGAGACGACCCACGACTCGCGGCAGGCGAATTGGGGGATTGCGGTTGGCCGAGAGTCGTCGTGTACTCGTGTCTCTTGTGTGGGTCAGGATGGTCAGGGTACCATCTGCTGGATGAAGGCAGGCAAAGGGTATGACTCATTTCAGTGTTCTACTGTAATCAACATTGCTCGCCAGACTTGTTAGCTTGCTTCTTCCTCTGCACGCCAAATATCTGTTGAAGATAGCACTGTGGTTCTCGAGAGAGACGTGCTCAATTTCCGGCGCAAGTGATGCAGGTCTTACCCCGTTCCTTCTCTGCATCCAATTGGCGAAGGGCTCCTTGTGGACTCCGCAGTTTGACTTGCTGTCAAAGAGACATGACAAGACCCAGGCACAGCACAGACAAGTCCAACGGACTAGAGTCTCAATTCAGCTTTCGGACTGAACAACAACACGCAGGACACCGGTTTCTTGAAACGAGTGAGAGCCTCGAGCACCTGGCCACATAGCTGAGATTGGTTCTATGCCGCTTGACGATCCTGGGAAAGAAGCACGGTGGCAAAAGCGCCTCGAGTTTCAAGCTTGGGTCTAAGTTATCCTGTCATTTGTAACTCATTGCTTCTTGAGGTGTTCTTAAACCTCAGCCCGCACGACCGCAACACGCCTCCCAAACTTGCGTTTACGTCTGACTGGCGCCACAATTCTCGAGCCATGGCCCTGCTGCGACCAGCCAAATGCTAGGCGGGCCTTGCCTTTGGCTGGGCCCCGATCGAAGCAAAGTGATGTGTTTGTGCAGAAAGGATGGACATTGGAGTGACAGTCACCACAAATACATGATGTTTGTTTTGAGTCTTGAGTTCTTTCTTTGGAGAATGGACAGCATGATGATTGCAGGCTGCATCATGACCATCCAGTCCATTAGCGATACCAATGCCACGTTATTTACTTTTTGTACTCATTTTCCAGCCGGGCTGCGAGAAGAGCTTTCCCAGCGTACCAAGGGTTGCCAAACGAGGTTGGGTGGCTTTCCAGTTGAGCAAACTATCATGATGCTCCGAACAATAGACAATGGGACTTGCCTGATGCGTAGCCTGGAACTACCCGCGCTATGTGCCTTTGCCAGGACAGTCGCATATGAGTCGCATCATCAAGTCCACAAGCAAGCCCAGGGTACCATTCGAAGGAGTAGTGCATGTTCTCTGGGGCGGAGCGTGGGACATACTTGTTCTTTCAAAGCCGATCACTTTCAAGTCGTTGCCACTTGTGTGTGACCGACTGGTTAGTCTCAGTTTCGCAGCAATCTCTATCGCACGCATCCACTAGCAGTCACCCCTCGTTTTGTTAAAAAGGACCACTTCGGCGGTGGTTGGTCTAAACTTTCACATGCTGGTCGGGACCCTGCCAACCCTAAGCCCAATCCTAAAGCAACCCTAAACCCAACCCCAAGCCAAGCCCATCCGCTGGTCGAGACAGTGAAACGTTTTACTGTCCCAACCCTAAACCAACTCACCCAAATGGGCACCACGGCAACCCATTTTGGGGTTGCCCTGTTTTCTTGCTGGTGCTCAGGAGGGAATGACCGAGTCCGGGGGTTGGGAACGAACCGTTTCGAGATTCCCTTAGGAAACCAAGTTTTGGGATGGCTTAACCCGGGGTCATTCCATTTCTCATTTCCTGCCCATCGAACAGCACCGTATTTCCATTTTTTGAGCCCCACCGCCTTGTTTGAGGCTTCCATGTTTGAGCCCAAGGTCGCCCAGAAAAACCGCCCGAGCCACCCGTCAGCCCCAGATGCCTTTTGCGCGGTCCCGCCTCGCGGCCTCGCGTCTGACGTGTCAGGCCGACTCGCGCTGCTGCCGCTGGTGGCCGGGGTGCTGGTGACGCGGCGCGTGGCCACGGAGGATCCCCTGAGGCGACCCGTCGGCGCGCGGCGCGCGGCTCCGGGGGTTTGCGGGTGCGGGACGAAATGGGTGTGGCGCCAAAGTCGGGGGGGCAACATATTTGGAACCCTGGGAAATGGACAAGTCTAAAACCTACCTTTATTTTGGCTCCAAAGGGGGGGTCCAACAAATTAATTGTGCACCCTGGCAAAGAGAAGTAGACTAACACTTGCGGCCTTTGGACATCTCTTGAGATTTGAGCCACACCCACATCCACCACTTTCTAAGTGGTTTATTCCTACATTTGCAGGGGTTCATCCCCACGGGGTTTTGTCCGACAGCTGTTGGACTTATCGGGTGAGCATATTCTTGCCTTCATCTCTGGACATCCGAAGATAATTGTAGGCTTTGTTTTGGACCACCTTGTCAGTCTTTCGGCTGAATGACTAAGCGTTGGTTCGGGTGCAACGACTTTGACCTGAGCCTCGCGAGGCCGGCCTGCATCACTGTGGAAGACCCTTTCGACGACCTCAGGGATGATGCCCGCCTGCAGGGCGGAAGGGACAGAGGGCCGGAGGGCCTCCGGCCTATGTGCACTTGCGTCGCTGCAGTCAAGATGCTTAGTGAAGAGCTTTAAGAATCTATGCAGAAGATGCACGTCGCCATTTCAACGGTACAAAGGTACTGAACCTTGTTTGCCTGTGGCAGCTGGCCTTTTCTTTGCTCATTGCAGCCACTTGTTGGCGCTAGCGCCGCGCCAGCAGGATCCCGAGTTGCTTTCCATCGCTTTCTGCCAAGCACCACAAAGTAGCTCATGCATCCGCAGTTGACCAGGATTTGCGAGCTCTGCCGTGCAATGGTACTCGATGTTTGGTAGCTGAACCACATTAGTTCTTCAGGGTCTATTCAGAACGACGGTTCCTTTTCCTGACCGTGCTCCGAGCCAGAAAGAAAGAGGCGCATTTAAAAGCCGATGTGGCGGCACCCACGTGGCCCCTTTGTCTTCTGATTGTTGCCGTGCAAAGACTTGGTCAAGGCTGTATGTGCAGATGAAAGACCAAGAGATCATCCGAAGAGAGGCATGCCAGGCGCGAGTTTCTCACTGCATAGTCACGTGTGATATGGATTAAATCGATTTGGCTCTGATGTTCAACAGGGAGGCCCTTCAACGTGGTGGACACAAATCCCCTAAATGATGCCCACCAAGGTCCCCAATTCAAACTTACGCCCATTTCCCTCGCAGAAAGGTCTTCGAGCTGCTGAGGCGAAAATCTACGCGCTGGTCTACTACGGGCGGCGGTCCTATGCGGCGTGGCAAAAACAGCGTCAAAGTTTGGATGGCAAATGAAGTAGCTGGGCAAGCAAGCCACTGGTGAAGGGAAGCCCGTCTATGCTGACGAAAGGCAGAAGTCAGAGAATGCCGCTGGTCAAAACAAGAACCTGACCTGGGGGATGGTTTGGGTCCCAAGCGGCACCCATTCGGGACCCTTCTGTTCGGTTCAGCGCATGTTCAGCAAAGCTCTTGTTTGGCCAAAACCCGAGGGGAAGACCCTTTCATATTGTCACTTCCCCCTTTTGCTGGTGAATCCGTCTTGTGAAACTCAGTTTCTCGAAGCAAACGGGGACCCGCCTTTTTGGATGGCTTTCAAGGAACGCCGCGACATAGAGGTTTAATTCCATCGGAAGAGCCTCCACTTGCTTGGAGGCGTCCCTCAATTTCACACTGTTGGTTTTGTTTCCGAGAACCAGCCTTTGCCGTAAGTGCGGGTGCGTCAAGCAAAAATTGGCCCTGGTCATCCAAATGGACTGGCTTCATATGGCTCGTTTTTTTTAGGATTTGGACCCCAAAGACAAATTGGGTACCGGCTCCCAAAGCACGCGCCACCCATATTTTTATTAAGGAGGTGGACATCCTTCCCTGAAAAGAACACCAAGAAGAAAGGATGGTACCAACTAAAGAAAGCGCGAGCCACCCATATTTGTGTTTTTGAGAAGCCCCACAAATTTGTTTTGAGGTGGACATCCTCAACGCCTACCTGGAGCGGAACCTCCGCAGCAACGGCGGGGTGCTGGACGGGGTGATCTTCGCCATGGTGAAGTACACCATCGAGGCACTCGGCGGGGCGGGGCGGATCGGCGGATCGGCGGGGGGGCGGGTTCGATAGGTGGAGTTGCTTTTGGAAGACGTCTGGCTTAACTCACTCCCTGAGTTCCTGGCCTTTTAGCTTTTTGAAAAGAGCACTTTGTGATAAATGAACAGTTTAGAATTGTTTTGGCTATTCCACGCAGGAAGTGAGTTAAGGGAGAGTTCTTTTGTTGGACTGTTGTTGAGGATTTAGACTTCTAGTTAAACAAATATGTCTTTTGTCTGACTGGTTTTGAGTGTTTCTCAACGACAGAAATGGCAAAGGAAAACACCCCTGGCCCATGATGTTTCATAACTTAAAGCCGCACCCGCAGCTTTGCCATAAGCTCATCAGCTGCAGAGGACAGTTCATGGTCAGACTGATTGAATTCACAGGTAGATGAAATACGGTGAGGCGCTCCGTTTCTTCGCCTTGATCGGGTAGGGAGTTACTCAGCTCAGAGTCCAGGATGGAAGGGCTCCTCGGGCGCGTACCGAGCGGAACCTTCCAGCCCAATGGTTGAGTGGCGTGGTTTTAACGCGTGGTGCCTTTCTTTTTTTTCTTCTTTGGTTTTTCAGGGAACTTGGAGCCTCTGTCAGGTAATCCTTAATTGGTGGTTTGGATTGGTGGTTTGGATTTAGATTTGAACCCCAGCTCCTAAGCCAAATTAGCAAGCACCACCTAAGGTCCAAACAACCAAAACACCACCTGGGGCACTTGGCAGCCAGGACATGAACTACTTGATCATGCTCCAGCGCCGGGACCTTGGAGTCCAAGCCAACAATTCGCCATTTCTGCGGTGGTTTGAGCCACCTCCTCAAAACCGAGCCACGGGTAGCTGAAGCTTGAGGGACACTCCCCTGGCCATATTTGGGTGCGGATATCCGCCTTAATTCTTGAAGCATGGTTCTGGGGATCGACCATTACAATACTGATCGGTTTTGATTATAACTCAGGTGTTTTGTTTCTCTGTTTGCTTCGGTTGTTTTTGAGGCCGGAATCCCAAGAGCTACATCATCCCTTGGCACATGGAGGGTGGAGCGTGGGACGCCGCCTGGCCGGATTTGAAGGCTTGAAGTGGTTTGGGTGGAGGCTTCGGCTTGTTTCAGCTTGACCCTAGCTTTGGATTGGTTGGAAACTTGAACCCACATGGGAAACAACCCCCTAACCCAAACCAAACCGCCAAACCAAAGCACCAATCAAAGGGCAAGCTGATTGTTGGCGCGGCCCCATGATTGAATAGGCTTAGCTGAGCCCATACCGATGCACTTCTTGGACCGACTGTGTGCCGCGAGAGACCTCGCAATTGGAAGTGCAGAGAACAGCATGCGTGGATGAATTCTTTGTTTCTCTCAAACGGGAGTGTTCCGGGGAGGTTTTGAGGGCGATTTCCGGGGCATTAACGTTGCGCAATGCGGTTGAGGATACTTCAGCTAATTTTCTTCTGAGTTCTCTCTACAGTTGGCATGTATCCCGTGGCGTGCTCGCGGCTTTTGCGGTCTCACGGTTTGCGAGGGTTTCGAGCATCGATCTGGTTGCCGGAGGGGGCATCTTAGGTTATCTGGCGCTTGGCGGACGAGCCTGGGGCCTACTACATCAAGATCGACGATGACGTGCCGTGGAGAGACCGGCGGAGATGACCGGCCATTGGGAAAAACATGGGGGACGAGCTCCACGTTTCCCACCAAAACCAGGGGTAGAACCGTCACCCACCTTGGGGAAGAGAGCCCTGGTGTTAGGGAGCATGAACAAATGCCGCTTCCAGTATCCTCATGACGAACGTCGCACATCAAAAGCTGTCTGGCATTTCAATCCTTACCAGGTCAGCCACGTCCTCAAACCCCGAGTAGATGAAGCTTAAGGGGAAATCCCAACAATAAATGGGCGCCACCTGTTTACTCCTTTACATGGCCCTTAGACTATTTCAGTACCGGTTTTTGATCTTGACTCAGGTGGTATACATTGCTGACGGGGCAATCGCCGAGATGATCCGCGAGAAGCGGCGCGGCAGGTTCCTCTTCGTCTCCGCAAACGCCGCTCGCTTCGCACTTTTTTGTGCGTGCTGTTTCATCTGTTTTGTTCGCTCACTTGGAGTTTGCGAGCCATTTCCCGTTTTGGAACCTCCAAAAGCGGCAGTTTCTAATTCATCAACTTTGGATTTGGGGAAATCCAGTGAGCCCTGTCACTTGGGGCCAGTGAGCGTGAATCCTATAGAAAGAAACCCGCAGGGGTTCCTTTTGAGGACTCGTGTCGACTACCAGAAAGGTCCCTTAGGCACCCACGGTATTCAACATAGGGTTGACATCGCTGTGCCAGTGCAAATGTTCGTCCGATTGCGAACGAGTTGCTCACAACGCACTCGATAGCACAGCCCATGTTCCCGAGACCCTCGGGCGAGCTTGCACTTCCAAGCTCACTTTTCATCGGCCAGCTTCCTCCATGTTTTTTGAAGTGGACTTCCACGTGCAGCTTGCCTTCCAATGTGTCAATCAGGTTTGGGTTCATTGTAGAAATTGGGAAATCACCCAGAAACAACTTGACCCATTGACCGAAATGGGTCCAACTCCGGGCTTGACGCCTAAAACAACCCATGGGCGTCCGCCTTCCGCCTTCCGCCTGGGAACCCGTGGGGACCCGTGGGGACCCCAGGTGGTGAACCACGGCATCCTCTCGGCGGTGCACCAAGAGATGTCTGCCATCCCTCACCTTGCGAAGCCTCCGCTGCCGGAGGGCAGAACCATGCAGGTGCGGAATGCCGGCGTGTTATGTTTGATTGGAGGGCTTGGCTGGCTGTGAGAAGATTCCTGAGTAGGTGTGTGTGTGTATATGTAATATATACAAATATGTGTGTGCGTGCGTGTTTTGTTCTCAAAATTGCGACTCCCAAAATTGGTTGGATTTCTGGGTGTCCGTTTGAGACACAGAAGAGGACCCCTAAGAAAAAGGCGAGCCACTCAGGGGAGGCCATCCCCAATTCTTAGGATTCTGCGTGGAGGTCCCTGGCTTTGTCAAGCGTGTCTTCTTCCAAGGTTGGATCCGTGGTTTTCGTGTTGGTTTCCCTTGAACACCATAAAAGAGAGGTGCCCTGAAAACCCCCCACCCCCCCATATCTTCCTTTGGAGAACTCCTGAAAGGCTCCAGGTTAGTGGGAGGCAGGTTTGCGATGGATTGTAGCCCCAACAAGCGAAGGACGGGTGGTCAACCGCTGCCCCACACGAGCTTCGCCAACCACGGTGTTTACACCCAATTCATTTTTTTCAACATTATCCAGTTGTGAGAGCATTCTTTCGCCACGGGCGCATGGCACGCATTCCTAGTTTGGCTTTTGGGTTCTCAAGATCCCGTCTGGTGGTTGCAACTCTTGTATGATCGTAGCGCTTTGCCAGCTGCCGCTGGCGTTTGCTTGGGCTCTCGGCATGGGGAGAATTTATGGTTGCCTTTGTAGATATCTTCGGCTTTCAATTGGGGGTGTCTTTTTGAGGGTACCCTTTTTCGTGGTTTTAAAGCAAGCCCGAAAGGAAAACCACCATTTTGGGGGGTGTCCCTAAAAAAAAGACACCCCATTTGTGTATTTACATGTCCATTGTGCTTATCTCAGGAGCAGAAGCTGGGCCCGTGGCAGTTCAAGGGGGACCTGATGACGGACCCCAGGTTCCGCATCGAGCATACCTTCTACTCCGATTGTGTGTGGAGGCGGGCTGCAAGCAACTCCGTGCATGTCTGGCCTGCGGTTGCACAGGCCGAGATCTGCAAGTGCTGTTTTTTTCTTCTTCTTTTTTTCTGTGCAGCTCAGCTGTGCGTTTTCGATTGGTGAGCCATGAGCAGAGTTTGTTCACATGATTGAAAGAACCGGTTCAGCCTGGCCCGCTTTTCTAGCTCACATCGTACGAGAAAGGGCAGAACGGGTCAGTTTTTGATGACTCCTTTGAGCAATCTTGAGGCCCCAGACAGCTATTTCACTGGATAGCACGCTCGAATCTGCCGAATGTAACGTGAAACTCGTTGCCTGCGACAAATCATTTTGATGATTGGCAAGATCACAAGTTGTAGGCTTTGGTTGCCCTGCTTTCCGGTGCGTGCTCAATTCAAATTCATGTCATATGTCAGTGGCCCTCTGACACAAAACTCGCCCGCTTGGGCAGCACGACCCAAGAAAACCATGGAAGCGCCACATGGCGCGGGACTAAGGTCAGCTTGATTTCCTCCCATCCAGCATTTGGGTCTTTGGGTGTGTCTTTTTTTGGGGTATCCATTGTTTTTTGCGGTTTTAGGGGACACCAACAGGAGAAAGGCCATTCTTGGGG